ACATGCGAGCGAAGGAGAAGGAGGGAAGCATCACGGTTTATGGGGAGGAAGAGGTTGGAAGATATAGAGAGAAGAACAGATGAGAGGAAAAGTAAGAGGGGGCGCGGGAATAGAAGAAGAAGAGGATTAGGGTTGAGAAACCCTAATGAGTTTCAACGTTTTAAATCATGCCCTGTCTGTTTAATTTCCTTTGGTTTTCTTTATGATTGGTTTTTGTCTTTTATTTGTTTCAGCTTAGTACCTTAGTTCAAATTTTCATAAAAAAATACTAATTAATTAACTTGTTTTATTTAGATAGTTAATTATTGTCTTAATACATTAGAACATAAATTATTAACCATTGTTAGTACAATTAGAACTCAAATTTTGATTAGATGTCTATTGGAAAATTAAAACATTTCTTTTTAGTGATTATTAACAATTATGTTTTAAGAATTAAATTAACTTTTCTTCTCAAAGTTAAAAATAATTGTTTCTTTTATTAATTAAAGTTTAAAAATTAAAATTAATTATTCTTTCTTAACTAAAAATTCAAAAAAATAAAAATCTCCTAACCGTTCCTGTTAATCGTTCATCTAGCTTTCATCGTCTCTGGTTTGGCTTTGACTAGTAATCCTTTTGGTTTCCGTAGTATTTTTGGCATGGATGTAATTTATGCGAGGCCATAATCGCAGTCATTTATTTTCCGCATTCTTTTTGGGATTTGTAATTTACGCGAGTGATCGTCGCGACGCTTTCTTTATCGCTTTCTTTACTTTCCGCACTTTAATTTTGCCGTATAATAATTTGCCATAGTTTTGCTTGTTTTTCCCGTTAGCCCTTCCGAAGGATTAGGTCTAAACAGTTTGACTGCCGAGTCAATAGTCCTACTCTTTGAACATTTCAAAACCCTAATAGCCTAGGTATCCCACCGTGGACGAAAACGCCTTTTACCCTAGTTTTAGGTCAAAGAGTCGCCATACTCTGTGTTTAAGGTTTCCCGCCATGGAGCATTTAGTCAACCCTAATTTAACCCTAATTTTCAATGACAAATTCAACGTAGAAATAGGAGTTTCAGACTCCACGTAAGCGTGTCCTTAAGATATGTTTACTCCCCTTGAAACCTTGACCACAGTCAAGACGTTTCTAACCTCCCTTTCAAGGGGAACTACGATTACTCTGATTCCATTCCCTATCCAGGATACGTAGGCACAAGATGCGAGTCTTGCCGAGTAAACTTAGGACTAACCCTTAGGTCTTTAGGTCGCTCTATCCCTTAGCATAATATATATTTCAAACAGATAATAAAATAAAAAAACATACAATAAACAAAAGGTTCCTGTAGAATACTACAGAAGTTTAGGGTGCTAGTACCTTCCCTAAATTTAACCAACCCCTTACCTAGGTATCTCCCCGCATTGTGTTTACGATGCAAAAATAGGTTTTCCCTCTTTTGACCTTTTCCTTCGGATAAATCAAAGTCGATTGTGAATCAAGAATTGTAATTCGAACTAACTAATAGTTTGATATCATATTCTAACCGCAACACATGAACATACCTTATTTCTCATGATTTGTTTGCTTGCATAAAATCTCTCGATTATTGCATATAGAGTTGTCAAAATATGCGTCATACGAGTTAAACTTCATTAGTCTATCATAGGTATCATCTAAGAGAATCAAAAATATGAATTTAGGCATTTTCTGAATTGTCAGGTTTTTGAGTCGACCAAATCTCTGCTCCGGTCGACTCATGATATGTGTCTTAAAAATGTATTTTTCTCGGGTTAGGTATGGTCGACCTACCGGTCGACGCATATTGTTGGTATTTCCATTTGTAAAAAAATTCAGGCTATGCGTCGACGCATGGCGGTGTGTTTTGCACAATATATTTCCTCGGGTTAGCTCAGGTCGACCCTACACTCTGCATGGGTCGATCGCTCGCTGTTTTATGCATATTTTCTGATTTTTCTATTACTTTTGAAAAATGGTTTTATTAGTTATAATAGTTTTGTCTGGTATAAATATTTAGTTGCGCTTTTCACTTCATATACATTGAATCATTCAGAAAAACAAGAAAAGTGAAAGAGGTGTCAATTCAAGTTCGGATCATCTTCATCTTCTACATTTCATACCATAACAATCACATACAATAGTCTTTGTTGTGCATTATGGATTGTTAAAGATGATAACGTTTGAAGCCGCTGATTGGGTAATCCGGTTCGGGTTGAGGAATTGACAGGTTTTTCTTGAATAAAACCTCTAGGGTTTTGTCCTCCAAGATTCTCTGAATTTGGGGGGGGGGGGGTTTGCACAATTCTTCTCAACACATATTCAGCCGAGTGAAGGTGATCGAGGAGCGATGGGTTCCGTCGATCTAGTAACGGTAATCGGAGGATTGTGAAGGAGAGTTTTGGGTTTGACACGCGAGTGCTTGAGAACAGTCGGGCTGGGGTTTGAAGACGGAAGGTTGTTCAAACATAGAGCTGTAAACGGAGGTTCACTCACGAGCTGTCGAAGAACTTGATTCGACTCGAATCAAGGGGCAAGAGGAGATAGCATCTACAACAACAAAGATGTTCGTTTGTTTGATTGCTTTCAATTCTTGTATATATGATTCTACAACAAGTTAAATTTATATTATAAAGTCTCAATTCTATTGTTAGAATTGAGGGTAGACGTACCCTGAAGCGGGGACGAAGGGGGAACTGCCTCAACAAATCCTTGTGTCTTTTACCTTTTGTATTTACACTGCTTAATATTTGTGTGGTTTTAGTGCAAACAATTATATCAAATCTTGGACTATTTTGAGTAAGTGCTAAACTGATTTTGACTCTAGTACAATCGTTGATTGTACAAGGAAACTAGAGCAAATTACTCATAGTGGAACTCACTTGTAGTGCTCCGCACTCCAAGTGTTTGATAAATTGTCTAAACCAAAAGCCTTGGGTGATGTCCATTTGTTGTGGTAATATTTTAAGGCATTGGAACTAGCCATACCACATAGTGATCCAAATCAAATTGATAGTGTGACTAGCGTAGTGATTCTCATTACTCGTTATCCGATTTCATCGGCTAAAACGCATATTCGATTTTCTAGTAACCGTTCGTTATAGACGGTATTTTTCCACGGTCGCTTCCGCAAATTAAACAAATTTTTAAAACCAATTTTATTAGTAGCGCCGACTCTTTTTAACTAAGAGATATATTCAACCCCCCTTCTAGATCCGCGTTATCGTCTAACAACTATGATGTTAAATACACCTGTATTGTGGAGGATGACTAGCTTCACACACTTCTACAATTTGGTCTAGCTTCATTCACTCCCACAAGTTAGTCAAGGTTGAGGGACGCGTGGCCGAGTTCATAAGCACTATAACTGGTTTTTGTAGCAACCACCCGAACGAAAAACCAATTCTATAAATATCTCATAAATCAAAACTCAAAAGCCCTCCTCTTGCACATCTCACCGCAAACAAGTATCTTCTATTACACTAACTACAAGTACACTCTATAATCTCATTTAGTTGACACCGGGGGTGAAAATATGACAGTCCAACTAACAGGGGCCTACGGCCTAACCTACACAGGCTCATGCTAGGCCAGATTTTTTTTTTCAAATAAAAAAGGCCTAGGCTCTTTTCTAAGCTTATTTAATTAAAAAGGTTAGGTCAAAGTCGTAAAAAAAAAACTTTTTACGTCTACCCAACTGACTTATTTAAATAAATATGAATAATTTTATTATTATTATTATCATCATTTTTATTATTATTATTATTATTATTATTATTATTATTATTATTATTATTATATTGTATTTGTATTTTGAAAAACTTATAAATTGTTCTCATAAGTTTTCTCAAACAAATAGTATCACAAAATTTATGTTAATATGTAAACTTTAACAAGTTAATGAAAATAAGCATTTAATCTAATTGATCTTTTAATTTGTTAGTTTATTTAAACATTGATGTAATTGCTTATTTATAAATATTCAAATACAATAAACTTTTATGTAGGCTAATAGGTCAAATAGACATTCAAAAAGGTCAGACTCAGATCTAAAACTAAACCTACGATAAATCAGATTTAAGCTTTGAAAATTTTAACAGGTCATGCTCTGAAAATTCTAGTCAGTCCAGCCTTGATATAATCTAGCTCGGCCCAGCCTATTCCCACTCCTAGTTGACACATCAGAAAACTCATCTCGTATGTGGTTTAGGAGTAATGAAAATTGATTTTAACGTGAATTGAAAGTCATTTAACAATAAACTTGTGTATAAAAGTCAATTTTAAAATAAAAAATTACAGAACTTTAAGTAGAATCAATTGTGGGAAAAAAAACAATTCTACTTTATGAGAATATTAAAATCAAGTCTATACTTCTAATTCTTCTAAAAGTAAGTTTGCACTCTTTTGGGAAATGCAATATTAAGAGGACTATTCGGTTACAGATTATTTAGAGTTAGACGATTATTGATATAGAGTTACTCGTATAGCCAAATTTGCATGTTTTTTTTCGATGATTCCCTATGAGATTTTTTCTTAATCTTCAAGTTACTTACCAACAATTACCAAAAAAACAAAAAGCTACTTACCTACATCTACTTTCCCTTTTCTGTCTCTCATTCCCAACACAAAAATTGCAGACACCAGGATTTCTAAGAATACAACTCATTCCCAGCTGTGCATCTAAAAATGCCTACAGCTATTTGCAGCAAAACAAGTTATTAACAACTTTAAACATCTATCTATAGATCATATAAAAGTTTTCAAATTGAAATTGCAAATTCTCTTGATGCCTTCAATACAAGTGTTCAACAAATCAGTGAAGTGAAAACAAATTACAAAAGAATGAATTAAATATTTAATTAAATTGGCAGACAAAAACTGAGTACAAAAATGTAAGGGCGGGCGGCCTGGCAAAATTTTCAACAGGGCGGTTTCCTGTCGGGGCTCTCTTGTGGCAACTTGTGAGCAAAGATTAGAAGAATGCTAATGGTATGTACATACCCTTAAGTTTACCTGCGGTAATCTTCGTGGAGGAATCTCTCATATTGCGTACCGGTGAGTGCTTTGCTCACGTCGTCCCAGTTTTCAACTTGGCTCGATAAGGAACCTTTATGAATCTTTACTTGACGACTCTTTAAATTCATCTGAGGAACCTTAAGAAACTCCAGAACGTCCGCCAATTTCTGTAAACAAAGTGAACCATCAAGAGACCTTTATAAGGAAATAAAAGGCAAGAGACGAAGTAGGAATCGTGTTAAGGTGGTGTGACTTACGGTGCGATTCTTGACAACGTCTTCATAGTATAGCATAATGTGCCGCGTGCTCTTGAAATATTCTAAAGCCTTGGTGGTGGTGTCGTTCACTTGTTTCAGGCTTGCAATCAGCAACGTTGAATTGAGTGTTGGCTTGTATTTTGCGAGTATTTCTGCCTGAAAGAGTGAAAGAATAGTTAGAATTCATTAACATAGATATGCAAACTCATGCGTGACTACAAATGTACAACAAAAAATAGAGAAGGACCTCTTTGGGTGAATGAACATGAGATTTGTGAGTGCCATTTAATATTTTAGCATTCTTATCGTATTCGTTTGCAAGTACGGAAATCATCCGGCGCAAAAGGTTCCTTCTAAAAAGAAATATGACTGAAACACCGTGAATTCTAAAGTACTCGGCAATTTGTTCATGATGCTGCACCAATCCCTGCGTTAAATTACAAAATACAAATATTGTGACGTCCACATCTCCCATATAAGTTTACAAAAATACAATATACAGTCAATAACATGTCAGATACTAAAAAAGCTCAAAAATAACGAAGCGCAATGTGTTTCATTCTTAATCAAATTTTATATTGTATACTTTTTCGCTTTCTACCTAATTTTAAAGCAACTCTTAGAACAATTCATCTTATGCAAAAGTATTCCACAAGAAGAAAGGACAAGCTCAATCTCGCGGAACCTTCAACACGTTATGCATACACATATCATCTGGGAAGAGGCCATGAAAACACGGAAAATATACAAAAAACAAAAATGGTACTGAAAAACACAGAAAATATACAAAAAACCTCAACAAGAACAACCAGAAAAATGTTTTCATAACAACGTGAAAGATAAGAAGTGAAGGTGAATGCATGCATCATCAACAACATAATTCATGCCACTGTTTTAGTGTGAAAGAAAGAGACCACTCCCTTCTTATATCATAGCTCTGCAATTCTTCTAAAACAGAAAGCAAAACTATAAGAGAAGTTATTAAGAAAGATCTCGAGATTAACGATTTGGACAGAAGCATGATCCTGAATAGAACATTATGGTGAAAGTTGATCCATGTAGCCGACTGCACTTAGTGGAAAAAGGCTTGGTTGTTGTTGTATGTATACTTTCACATTTCACAAGCAACAGTTTATCCTTCATAAATATTCTACTCGCCTCTAGATCCCATAAATCGAATGATACGATATGTCAGTCAAAAACTATTTTAAAGAGATTGTTATTCCTAAGCATTTTAACGTTAGTATTTCACTACTTCAAACTTTATTCGAATTGACTAAGAGAAAAGAATCTACTTTCCTTTTGAAAGCTGAACTAAAACACAACACTACGAAACCGATCAAACATAAATAAAACAAACTTTACCTGATTAAGCATCCACTTCAAGCCAACCGCAGTCGTGCACTCGTTTTTAGAAGCACTACTAAACCAATCTAGATTATAAATTGTGTCCAACGTCTCAGTTATCGTCGTCATATTACTCCTCCTAACCTTAACCGAAAAAATTTCCCCGTTCGAGCTTATGTTAGGATGGCTATTCAAAAATGTCTCAAACCATCCACTCCCAGATCTCTGCATCGACAGAATAGTAAAATAGCGCACCGGGTGGCAACTACATTCCTCCCTAAAAAACAAATACCAGTTAAGTTCAAAAGATTCAGAAACAAAATCAGTTATTCGACTCTTAACATCAATATATCACCACCACCTGCTGTAAGTTTTGGGATTCGGATAATGCACATAAGGAATCTCCCAAGGTTCGATATTCGGTTCGGGACAAGGCTTTTGAATAACATTGATATCTAGAAAACCAATTTTAGTCCCAGTGCTTATCTGCTTCAGACAAATAGAACATATATACACACCACAAACCATTGCAAAAGCCAACACAACCAACCTCCAAACAAACGTTGTATTCTTCAAACCCTTCACAAGCAAAACATCCTGAAACCATTAACCACAACAACGTTATTAAATTAATACGCTATAAAAGCCCTCAACTTAATTGATCCAAAACATGAATATCGAATTAGAAATTAGAAATTAGATATTAACCCCCACAGAATTCATTGGGGTTAATTTAAGAAACCAGATCGAACAATTTCACGTGGCACCCATGAAAAAACAAAATCAAAAATAGAATCTTTCACCTAAGATAAAATGAAACAGCAAGAAAAACAAAACACTAACCTTAGTGAAGGAAGAATGATCATCGGCCATTGTTATTAAGCTCAAATCAAAAGGAATGTAGATGAAAAGACATTTTTTTGGATACCTTTTGGAAATTTCGTTAATTTATTGTTGTAAAGCTTAATTTTTCAGCTCTCATTGCTGAAACCTGCAACAACTCAGAATAAAAATAATAACAATAATAATAAATATTATATTTTGTTTATTAATCTGTGTTTCATTTTTTTTAGTGTTGTAGAGAACAAAATGATGAAAGAGTTTAGAACTATAATAACTAAATTTAGATTTAGACCGTTGTTTTTTTTTACATAATAAATGGAGAAATTAAAAAAAAATAATGATAGAAATATTAATATTAATTTTATCTCGAAATTCGCACCTGGCAAGTGCAGAACTCTCTTCGGTTCGACGAGTTTCGCTTTCAATATCGTTGAGAATGGTGGGTTGAAATGCGACCGAATCAAAACGACATTGTCTTTGTGTTGGTTACTACTTAAAACGACAGGTAAAGATATTTTTTTTTTTTTAGTTTTAAAATTGGTATGAAAAGAAATTCAGACCAAAAAGGATGATGGTTATTTTTTTGGACAATTTTATAGATTTACTAGCCTGTTGGTTGGTGTCTTGCCGTCTATTAAGGTTGTTAAATTAAAAGGAAATAAGCAGCATGATTATTGCTTTTAGACATTGATTTTTCTCATACCATGTTAAATTCAACTTAGTAATTAAAAAAATTCCATAACGAAAGAACTATCTTAAGAGAGAAAAATGAAAAATGAGAACATATTTTTATTTTATTCGAATATAATTTTTGATACTGCATCAATTAATAATTTATATTTTATTATTATATTTGGTAATAATTGAATTTGTTTCTTAAAAACATATTTTATGTATGGTCCAGTTTTTATGATAAAATATCTTTTAATATTTACTATTTTGGAATATATACATGATCTATAGAACAGAGGAGGTAGAGATAAAATAGATGAAATTAAATTTAAACTTCTGCCGTATTACAATTAGATGAAAATCAGATTTAAGGTAATATCACATGAACTTCATTTTGATAATTCAATTATAATATTATATTAATTACTTTATATGAATACATTAAATTTTCTTTATTGTGAATTAATGTATGCAAAAAATATAAATATGCTTTAATAAGAATAAATATCAGAATATGTGTCATGATATATTAACTTAGTTGAGCAAAGTTTTATTATTTAAAAATGGGTAATGTTAACTTGTGTCTTTGGGGCAACTAAATTAAAAAATATCATCTTGAAAATTGTATACAAACTTAAATTAAAATATAAAATTAATTTTTAAATTGTTTTTTCCAATACAAATTTACTAAAAGTGGTTTCCTTAACATGTGCTCCAAGGGCACAAGTTAACATTACCCTTTAAAAATTATCAATACAAATAATAAGTACTTAGTTAAGCATTTTAGTGTCAAAAAATAAAAATAAAAATGATAACTCAAATAGAATAAATACAAATCAAAACTTTATTACCATAATGAGAAACAAACCCCTATGTACAAAACTTACCTTATAGCTTTAGAACTCAACTCCAATGACAACGAGTAATAGAAAATGGAAAAGAATGTATTCTTTATGTTTTGCAATAAAGACTTTTCCTACTAAGAGTTAAAATAAAGAAAGAAGTAGAGACCAATTAATGTCATCAAAATGAGGTGTTTGTAGTTATGTGAAAAATAAACATTAGGATTTGAAGAAATGAAGGTTGCTTTAAAAGTATGTCTACTACAAACCACGTGAATATTTTTTTAATTCCAAGTAAAAGTTATATATCTTTTAAGAAAAATCTTGTGGGTAAAGTCTATCTCACCTCGCCCTAGGTCTATTTTAAAAGTGGGTTAGGCGGGACGAGCCAACTTAAGACACCGAGTCGAAAACCTCATTCCACCTCGTTAAAAATGGTGGGTTAACGGCCGGGCACAATGGGTCTAACCCGTTTTGTCCCACACACACACAATTTGTCATTATATATATATATATATATATATATATATATATATATATATATATATATATATATATATATATATATATATATATATATATATATATATATATATATATATATATATATATATATATATATATATATATATATATATATATATAATGGGTTAAACGGCCGGGCACAATGGGTCTAACCCGTTTTGCCCCACACACACAATTTGTCATTATATATATATATATATATATATATATATATATATATATATATATATATATATATATATATATATATATATATATATATATATATATATATATATATATATATATATATATATATATATATATATATATATATATATATATATATATATATATATATATATATATATAATGTATCCTATGAGAATGTAATTTTTATGTAAGAATATAAGAATATATTTGAACCATTAAATTTAAAATAAATGGATGAGAGGAGAGAGAATTTTAATTGTAAAAAATGTAATATTTTAATTTAATTCATTTATTTTAATAATGGAGGAGAGAAAAAGTAAAAAAGGCACATAATCTCACATATTATTTTAAATGTAATGGTTATGATATTTGATTAATAATGATTAATAATTAAAATAAGATAGTGATTGGTAAAATTAATTTTTCATTTTTATTTTATTGATGTAAACTCGCAATAAAATAAATAGGAAAAATAAACCATTGAATCAAATATGAAAAAAAAGTATGTCATTTTATATTACTAATTGATATTGATTGAGTCAAAATAATAATTAGAGAAATATATTTCCTTAATATAAATAAGAGAAATTTATATATCTATGAGGGAAAAGTATACTACCGATTCAAATATGTTTAAAATATAAAAATTTTAATATGATTATTATAAATGATTTCTAATTAGTATTTAAAATAATTTAAAATTTTTTAAATTAAATTTAGTGTACATGTACCATAATTTGAATTTTTTTAACACAAGATTAATTTGAAGATGTTTTTAAATTAAGATACAATACTTTTCTAAAAATAATAATAATAATTTGTTAGTTTAAAAAAATTATAATTTTTCAATTAAAATAATTTAAAATGATAGAGGTTAAGGATCTAAACTTTTAGTATAACTTTTAATAAAATAACAACTTATGTTAATAAATGTGTGTACTGTAACACCTCAATTTTTAATAATTATTTATTTATTTGAATTAATTGATTTATTAGATTTATTTAAATTATTTGGGTTGGTTGGGTTAATTGATTTGTTGGGACTATTTTAATTAATTGAGTTATCGGATAATTACTTATTTATTTGGTGAGATGATTGATTTCTAGGATTAGTGAGTTAGTGTAGTGTGTGAATAGTAAGTGAATTGGGCTAAGCCCAATAACTTAAGAATTAGGGTTTTAGAGAAGAGAAGTTAGTAAGAGAAGGAAAAAATGGGGAAAAAGAGAATAGAGAGAGCATAGAAGAGAAGAAGAGAAAGAAAGAGGATAGAGAGAAGGAAGGGTGGAGAAGAAGAAGAACTAAGAGAGAGGGCTCAAGAATCATCCAAAAACCAAGGTAAGGGTGAGTTTTTATATGATTATTGAGATTGTATGATAGTGTATGATGGGTAGTATCATATTTAGGATAAAAATCCCTAATTTTCATGGTTTTAAAATTATGATTACATGACATATGATGATAGGATCCTTAAATATTTGTTGTGGGTTGTTATATTTGTCATATAATGGTAGGATTTCGAATTCTAGAACTGGGGCTTTTTACGGAATTGAAATCTGAGGTCTGGAAGGCCTCTAACGGTGAAAAACGCAGAGAATTCTGCATTCTGCGATGTTTATGTCGACTCATACGTCGCAGGGGTCGACATATACTGATTGCGTTTTTTCTGGATTTCGTTTCGGCTTTCCATGCGTCGACCAGCGGTCGACTCAAGGCTGTGTGTTGGTAAAATTGTTGTTCCGACGATTTTGGCCATAACTTTTGATCTGTAAGTCGGTTTTAGTCCCTATTCAAAGTGTTGGAAAGCTAATGAATAGATCTATAACATAATATAGATGATATAATTAGTTGCCAAATATTTTTATATCTAATATGTTTGGGAAGTCAATTGTGTATATGTTCTATTATTGAATTGTTGTATTGTTGTTGCCGGTTGTGAAATTATTTATGGATTAATTGAGATGATTATTGATTATTTACTTGAGTATTGATTGATTATCAAACTTTGGTTGGTTATTGAGATATCAATTGTTTTTTAACAAGTTGATTATGTATTGAATATTGAATTTAACTATTGGTGATGGATTGATTATCCTATGAGTAATCATCGAATTGTACTGTGAATTGTGATTAAATCTAATTGATTATTGTGCATTACTTGAAAAATACTGTGATGATGTAGAAGTATGAATACTTTGATTATTATGAAATGTGTCGTGTGTGCAATCGTGTTATAATTCTTGTGTGATGAATTGTTTGAGAATGCGAGAACGGTCTTAAGTGCATATGGTTGTTGATTGCATACACATCATTTGTTGTCAAGAGGCAATACTTTCTAGTTTCATGGAGACTAGTGACTTGTCCCAAACCTAGAGTGGGGTTTGAAAGCCTAGGGGACGGGCTTTTGTTTGTTATTGGTCTAGGAGACGGACCCGGTTTAAATGTAAAAACCAAAAAATAATAACAAGTGTTGGTACCACATGGCATGAGTTGCATTGAATCTTGCATTGAGTTTTACATTGAGTCTCATTGTGTATATGTTTGCGCAATGAGATTATGTGTATCTATGTGAATTGTTGAAATTGGTGAAATTATGGATTGTGTGTATATACTTGTGAATGGTATGGTTACTTGAGTGATATTTTGTTGATGAAGCTTTTTATTTGTGAGAATAATTGTGATTATACTTGTTTGCCTTAAATTATATATTATCTTATAATTTCGATAATTATGTGAATTCTCACCCTTTTGTTGGAATGATGTTTTATACGACATCGCTCAGGTACCGAGGAGTAGAGTTG